TTCACAACCTGAAATTTCTGAGTTAAAGCACTGATAGTACTGAGGATTAATAATTTTTTTTTATTTTTGATTACAGCTTGATTCCACACTGTATTTTTGGTACAAGTATGGAATTTTCAGCATGGATATCGGTAGCCCAAATTTTGCATGCCGACCATAGATATCGGGTGTGCGTCGGCGGAGGCTCGAACCTCGGACCATGTGCATGGTCGGCGAGAGTCTTAACCGCTGTGCCACCGAAGCACAGAAATGCTTCTTAGTATTCAGAATTGTACTTGTTCCTAAAGATATATCTAACTTTAGAACAATTAAACATCCACAGATAAATGGGACATTTTCTCACTGAACCATCAACAAAGAGAATTAACAGCAAAGAAAATTTCGCTTTTCTATTAACCATTGGATACCCATCATAGGCATTATTCCACAGTGTCGCTAAACCACAATATTATGGAAATTAGAATTCATCAGTCATTTGAATTCAGTGATCATTGACCTTGACCCCATAACCTGTGTGTCAGATTTAGTCACTGGTGTGGTTTTGACCCGGCATTACTGAACAATTCAAAACTAGGATGAAACAAATATCCAGCGCTCCACGGTTTATCAATGTTCTTTGGCTAGTGCTAGTTCGAAGCATTTGCAAAGTCGATCAAATGCTGCTAACTATGCTCTGGTTGGACATTGGATAGTAACGCTAGCATCACGTGTCTAGTCCTCCATTTGGTGCAGCCTAAATTATATCATTCAATCAAAGTATTCACTACAGTCTCACTAAAGGTCAGTAGCTAGCACGAATGGCTCAGCAGGAACATCTCTGACTGCAGAACTGACTAACCCAAGCCGGGCTCTCAGAAGCGATATGAGTTCACTCAAGGTTGCAGGTAGGCCTTGATGACGAGTGCCAACAATCACGAAACCTACAACCATCTAATAACAACAGTTCAGAATACACTGGGATAGTATTCCACCTAGAACGGTGGCAAGATTGCAAACTAGACTGACGGAATTTAGTCTGCATCAAATGAAGGATAGAGACACATGACATTAGTCACCAGTCAGTATCTAGTCGATGTATCCATGATAGTCTTACAGGAGATAAACCGCTCTTACGAATACTTCAATGGAAACGTCTCTAAATGAAGAATTGGGTGAGCCGAGTCCCATCTTAGAAGACTGCCAACAATCACGAAACCCAGATCAACCAGGCAATCTTGCCAACTGCCTCCAACCACCTAACAACTGGTAACCATGTTCTAGGAAATATATTAGCTAATACCAAGTGCAATCTGAAAGGCTACTTAGAAGTAGGTATTAAAAATTTGTTTGATTACCTACGAAAATAGCCTATCCAGAGTCTTTGGCTACAACAATGGAACATTATAAAAAGGGTATTTTCTGTTTAGTAACATTATTCCACCATAAGATACTTTGTCAAGAAAACTCATCCAAATACCGAGTGATGTATATATATATATATATATATATATATATAAATTTTGGCTATCATCTCTTTCATATCCAAAATGAGTTATAAATTCAATTAAGCGATTATCCATCTTCACCACACCTAACTTTCAAACATCACATTTTCCAGGAAAATTATATCCTGTTTGCAATAGATATTTAAGAGGAACGGGAAGAAACTAAAATTCAATTATAAGTAATATAGATGTATCCATTACTCTGAATAAAGTTGACAAACAAGTTGAAACAAAGACGTGAACCTTTAAACAAGTAAAAAAATGACTTATTTCTGTTAAAATAAAGTGAAGATTTTATTCATTTCATGTGGTTCTTCTTTAGCTGATGCTTTTTTTGACCAAAGCAAAAGCGCTATTCTTTGTCTTGCCGACTTCATTCATCATCAACACCAACATGACAAATAAGTCATGAATACAATTCGTGTTTACAATTCTAATCATCTACCCTTGTCTTTCATAATATTACTATTTCACCCTCTAAATGAAACTGATCTAATTAGTAGATTAGTTTAATCAAGAAATATACACAATATACAGATACATATAAACAATAAGCAATTATCTTTTATTGAGATCATTAGCGTTAAAGTTACTGGTTTGTATAGTCAATACTTTGAACAGAACTAAAGAGCATACAACAATGATAAGATTGTTTATATTGCCTACATATGCTAATCTTTGTTCGTTAGAGGAAAGCGTTGAATGTTCGTTCCTCTAATAGTTTAAATTACGAACAAAGAAAGCGGATATTAACAATTTTCCGTTGTATCCATAATTCTTCAAAGAATAAGCTGGGACTAAATACTCTATGAATCATGACGAATAAACCAATGATCCAGTGTATCCGATTTTTGGATCACTTCTATCACTTTGGCTAGTAATCAGTAATTTATATCCAATGATATAAGGTGAATCAGATATCCGTAATTATAAATATTATGAAGCAACCACCAGCCAAGTGTCATAGATGAATAGATCTCATCTTACCTGACTTGATGGACACTTCTGGTTACCACTCCTAACTAGCGCTCGAAGTAACTCCCATGTATAGACCCAGTTGCTAGTGTACAGGAATTCAATTGGTTACAGGTGTGATCACGACCTGACACACCAGTTACAGAACCACTGAAAAGCCACAGAGTAATGGAAGTCTGTTTTATTTCAGTTTGAGACCCTTCATCAGTACGCACCTACAATAGTCTGAATTCAAGACCATCTGGTTTCAAAGAAAGTGGAATTCATCAACCACTGGATTAAGTCCTAGGTTGATAACCAGGCGGATATTGTCGAAGAGACACAAACCAGGATGAAAGAATACTGTCCGATACTCCCTGGTTTTCTAATGGTTTTTCTACTGAGGACAGCTTATGATCAGGTATGTAACTGATCAAATCCCTGTAAATCGACACCTGGTGTAACTAACACAGTGCATTACAGTCTCCCATCTTTCGATGTCATTAGGACTTTTCTTTATTATTATTACTATTATTATTATTATATGCTTTAATTCCTAGAGGAACATATGGCTTCAGCTGAGCGTCTCCATTGCCTTCTGTTTTTTGCCAACTTTTTCACTTTCAAGACTTTTTCAAGACTTTTCTTTACTGTATTACAATTTAAGACTGTAGAAGTGGGGTCCTCAACAGCTTTGCCTAGTCGCCTCACAGTTAAATTTCCTCTTCTTAGTACTGTACCATCAGATTTGAAGGAAGTCACTGTCTTCTAGTTGCTAAATGTTTCAAAATGTTAAAGGTATTTTTTAATATTATCCTCAGATCTTCAAGTTGTATATAGTTTTTCAAAATAAATTCCTAATCCCTATCATATTAGAAGTATGAGGCCTTAATAAAGACCGAGATAATAAATTTCATAATTGAAATTGACCGTCTGAAAGTGAAGTTCTCTGTGTCATATATTTAAAACGAACATCTGTTAAGTTTTCTGAAGTTTCATACATTTACTCCACTTAATAAATTTGAACAAATCAAGAACTACAGTTTCAGCAGAATAAATGGTACCATCTTTTATTTCGTTGCCTTCTCGTCAGTTGCTTACATGGCAAAGACATTATTAAATATATCTACAACAACAATTTTGACATACTTGCACAGAGTTCATTTTGAACAAAAATCAATCGATTAATATATGCATACAGTAATTATATATATATATATATATATATAATATTAAACACTATTCCGAACAATAATAATCATACACAATGGAAACTTTCCGGCATTTTACATTTGGATGAAAGAGAAATGGAAAATATCCAGTCACCAGGGCAAAGAAAGACTGATAACCACTTCTTTCTGGATGCATAAATCAGGTTTCAGGCGCTTGATGGAAATGGCTTCAGTAAACTTAAGGAGAATTGAGCTATTTTGCCTATTGAAAATTTTGAACGACTTTTCGACGTCAACCCCATGACCCGTGTCGAGGAAATGCCTGGCGATGGCACTGTTTAAAGCATTTGTTCCCTTTAGACGTAAGCTTCTTGGTACATGTTGAAAAAATTGTAGATATTCCCTTCTTTCTGTCCTTCCAATGTAACTGCTCCCGCAGATACATGTAAATTTGTGTATACAGTCGGAGCTAACATGAGAACGATATCTATCGATTTTTGATTACATCAAAGAGCAAGTTGTTCGACAGACGGGGACGAACTTAGCTGCAGGATAGGCTATGGCTAGTGATGTACTCAACCTTCTGTTGATCATCGCTGCAATGTTTTTCCCTTTATGATTAAGCTGAAAGTAGATTGGCTTTTTTCCCACTGTGATTTGTTTTAGCTTTGTGACTTTATATCTTCCATAATTTTTTAAGAACCTTTAAGGTACCCATCGCTCTTTAATATATTTTCAAGGAAGTTAAATTCTTCCTCTGAAGTTCTCCAGAATATGCAGCACTAGGTAAATTAGCCGAGACTACTTCTTAGTTTCGTCGTTTGACATTGACAAAGAAATGTTAATCAAGTGAATTATTACTCATCAGTACTATTCCCCTGGATTCCGAATTCGACCTCAGTCTTCTTAAACTGATCCAATGACTGCCCGTAAGCTCCTTTTCACTGCACGCGTGATCTCCTATATGTCATACATCAACCAACAATCAACTCATCTTTTTCCTTTGGGGTTCTAATAGATGAATTGATGCGTGATTTCCCAGGAATATCTAACCGTAGTATTCCCAGTCCATCTCCATTTACTTTTGCACGTTTTCTATCAGTAGGTTCTTGATTAGTTCGTTGAAAGAGTTTCCTTGTTCCTTAACCTTTCTAGCCAACCGGCCATCTGACCTTCAAGGCAGCGAATGACACAGTTGCCGATAAAAATCTCGGGTCTGTTGAAATCGACTGTCTTATCCTGTTGTAAAATAACTCAAATTTCAGGTTGCGATACTCATACGACTGACTTTTTGGATATTGAAAACGTTCGTCAATTATTTCTGCATCTGTAATACATCATCTTTAAGTTTAATTTAATCCTTAATTTTCCCTTTTCTATTGGTTTACAGATTAATGAACATCTTGGACCATTACAAATTTCACTTGGAAATATGCTAATTGATATAACAAAATTCATTTTTATATTTTTATTAGTCATTTCATCTTTTGCTTGTGGTTTACATCAGCTGTATTATTATTATCTATCGAATGATGAAGATAACAGGCCACGTGCATTCAGTTCGTAAGTGAAACTCTTTTTATACATATATGATATATATATGATATATATATATATAGAACAAAAGGTATGCATTATGCGTTATTATGACGATTCTAAGTGTCAAGAGGTGATTGAGCACTGACTGTCATTGAGTTGCAATAAAAAGACGAAATATAACCATCCACAATATCAGAAGTAGAATAGGAAAAGCAAGTTAGACCTTCATTACTGTAATAAGTATGAGTAATGACATACACATTTTTGACATTAATATTAAGTCAGTGCTTGTATACGATTCAAAGACTCGTTAGACACACTGCGAAGAGCATTTTCAAAGGACTCACATAGACTTTCATCAAATGCTGCACCCTCCTCCTCCTCCTTGAAATTCGAGTTCAGATGTCTGGCGAGAAAAGAATGAGCAATAAGGAACTCTGGCAACATACCGATCAAGAATTAATTTCCCAGCAGATATGCAGAAGAAAATGAAGATGGATCCGAATTACGCTGAGGAGACCGTTCAGTAACATCCTGCTCCAGGTCAAGGCCTCAAGTGAAACTGGGATGGGAAACGAAGATTTGAAAGTAGATCGGTGGGTGAAATGAAAGCAATCGTACGAGGAGAAAATGAAAGGAAATGTAAATTCGCGAAGCCAACTAAAAAGAACTACGGAGGACAGAGTGAAATGGCCACGTGCTGTAGAAGTTTTACATTCCATTTGAAACCCAAGAAAATAACAATAAATAATTACATCCATTAAGGCATATAATGTATATCAAGAAGTCTTGGAACTGTATAAACTGTATAGTCATTGGAACTGTATAAACATCGGTTAGGACGCTCGCTGAACATGCATGTGGTCCGGGGTTCAATTCCCAACCTGATATCAAAGGTCAGCCTGCTTCTCGTATGGGGAAGATATCTCTAACTAGATAAATCAGTTTTGGCAGTGTCATAGTATTGCTCTGACTGGTAAAGGTTGATTGCTTCCCTCGGTCTACTACAGAACCTAGAAGATATGGCATTTTTAGTGAAAATTAATTCAAATGGTTCACCTTCAATCAACCACATCCAGATACCTTACCAGCACTTAGCAAAAACACCTATTACCATCAATGTGAGAAATCTAGAAGAAGAAGATGTCTATTTCACTCACCTTAGCACCTTTGCTTCATCTTCAGGAAGGATAGCTGAAGATGTCAAAGCCAGTTAGGCGATTTTTAAAAATGAAATCAGTGAGGGGATCTACAGCACTTAGCACAAATGGTGAGGTTATAAATTTTAATACCAAAGTGGGAACTCTATACGGTTCGGCAACTTGGCAAGTGAGTCATGATGAACGTTTCCAAGAGACTACTACTACTGAAGACTTTCATCTACAGCTAACCCTTTTACTACATGCTGAAGACCAAACAGCAGACCAAAAGGTTTAAGCAACGTGCAATAGAAACAACCTATATCCTATTAGACAATAAATATGCAGAGCAAAATGAAGGGGGACTGGATATGTGCTTCGGAGATATTCAGTTGATACCACACTCTATGCAGGTGCTTCAGAGTAATCCGAATAGGAAGCGACGAGTTTGGTATCTAAGGATGACATGAAAAATTTCATTGAAAAAGGCAATGAAAGTATGTCATCAGTCGTGGAGTTGGTTGGTACTGATAGCAGTGAATCATGTGCAATAGGGATGTACTCTTATCCAACTCGAAACTCAATGTATGAATAGTATTAATGAAAATTGCGGAGTTTACCCTGGTAAAACTGTTTGTTTCGAAAGTAAACACGCTTTAAGCTTTTGAACTTCAATGTCATTTGTTGTGCGTACCATGCAAAATACAATCATCGAGTGAATAAAGTTACCTTAAATTGTTGGCTTTAATGACTGTCTGTTAGCCAGAGTTACGTCACATTATATGTTTATATAGCAAACAGTATTTGCTAGATGTTGAATATTGATTCTATCTAAGTGAACACTGTTGTTGCCCAATATAAACCTGTCATGAAGCTTCAAATGAATGTCCAATCAAGCAGCCTAATACGTATATCCGACCTCAGTTCGCTCATATTACTCATTTTGTTTAATTGTACTTTTTTAAATAATAATAATAATTTGCTTTATTCCAAAACAGTACTTGTGATACAGAATGGAATTCTCAGCATTCTACTACAGTATTGCATCCAGTTAGTACATTATCAATAAATAAAATTCTACAAAGATTAAGGGTAATCTCACTTTGTTTTGATAACAACATATTGGTATGTCAGTAGCGAGGCCAAAACTGAACAAAGTGTATGAAGGTGTCAGAAAAGTAGATGCTAGCATATTTACTGGCGTAAGCGGTAACAAAAAGGTCGAGATATACAAAGTGTGAAAGAATGAAGAAGAATGTTTTAAATGGAGTTTATAAGGAAGAAAAAAAACAAAGCAGCACATAATAAAAAAAGAGAAAAGGAAAAGAAAGAAAGAAAACGTTGTACCTGTAAATGATATGAGTTGAAAAGACGATATCCAGTTGTTCTACTGACTATTTAATAAGTTATAGGTATCACGCCTAATGCTTTCTTTATCGCACAGAACATTAGCTAAGTAGGGTATGGCTGAGTTTTTGTACTTACTAGTGCCAGCATATACTTTTCTGTATAGGCTTCTGGTTCTGCCTAATGAGATACAAGGGGAGAATTGTGAATGAAGAGGGTGTTGTGAGTTAGATAAAATGGATTTAGCCCATTTTTCACATGAGTCCATGTGCCTGTCAACCAGAATATTAACAAGCTGGTTAAGTGGTACGCTGAGTCACTTAGCTCATGAGTTATAACTCCAATCGATTTGCAGTATAGCACAATAGCCATCCCATTTCATTGGCGAGTTTCTGTCCAAGTATCTGATTTGCGAGCACCATGTGCTCATAACCTGAAGTTTTTGGATTCAATTTTTAATGGATTCAAGACTACACACTGATGAAGAGTCTCACATTTACCTGGTACTTTCTGGTTTTCAAATGGTTTTTTTCAACTGAATTAGGTTAGTAGAGAAATTTAGCTCAAAATCAGTAGATTCCTAATTAATTTACCACTCCAAAGTTATTCTTAAACAGGTTAGTAGAAAAAAACATTCTGTGTAAAGAATATTAAACTTGTCACAATAAAATTAGAGTACATCAAGATTAGTGGAAGTATATTTTACAGTAATCAGCAGGTTAATTCTAGCTTCCTAAAGATATACTACATTTCATCTTAGATGTATCCAACTGATAGCATCGTTTATTACAAGGACAATCTCTTCGTTTAAGTAAACGTTACAAGATGATGTTTGTACAGCTGTCAGTCACTGTCAGGCTTGTAAATTTACCCTAGACTATATGTAACTACGGGAAATAGTAAATTATTAATTCTGATATAAAACAGGAAAAAATCTTCTAAATGAGCAAATCTAGAGCAATTGACATCTCATGCGTTAACAGCTGACAGTTCTGTCTATTGTGATAAGACTGTAATACAATAAGCTGTGTAAGCGATTAAGAAATTTTTTTTTGATTTACAGCTTGATTCCACACTGTATTTTTGGTACAAGTATGGAATTTTCAGCATGGATATCGGTAGCCCAAATTTTGCAGGCCGACCATAGATATCAGGTGTGCGTCGGCGGAGGCTCGAACCTCGGACCATGTGCATGATCGGCGAGAGTCCTAACCACTGTGCCACCGATTGATTGGATACTAGTAATTAACTCGTGTGATGTGCCTAGTCTTTTCTTTCGTGCAGACTGAACTCTATCAAACAGGTTTGCAATGTGGCCACCATTCCAGGTAGTTTGCTAACATAGTGCACATTGATTTGATGATATTAGATGGTTGACCCCTTTGCAAGCTTGACTGATAGAATTCAAGTATTGATTTTGTAGGGATAATGTTTGATTGGATGGGAGATTTCATCATGAGCTGACATCAGTTACAGAACCATTCCAAAACCACTACCTGAAGATTAGTCTGATGCTCACTAGCTAGTGGGCCCTATTCAGGCAGTTAACCTGGGTTTCTAGTGGGAATCCGTGACCAGTAGGGTACAGCAGGTTGAAGATGAAGCAGTAACTCATCAAAGAAGACATTGGCTTGTTGTCACACTATGTCATGGATCGGCAGAAGTTAGAATTCATGGTCTGGCCACTGGAACGGGTCCCAGTGGCTCAATGGTTTACGAGCTAGCTCGAATCCCCGTGGATACGTGCCGATGAAGAGTGCCAAAGTAGGAGGAAACAGCTATCCAGTACTCTCAGGTGGTCTTCCAGTGGTTCTCTATCTGATGTCAGCTCATGATAGAATTTAGTCTGCACCAAAGAAGAGACTATGCACATCACACCAGTTAGTTACTAGCATCCAATCAAAGTATCCAATACAGTCTTACAGGATGTCAGCCGCAAACCAGAATAGCTCAGAGATAACTGCAGCAGTGGGTGACACCAGTTCGAATCTCAGAAGGGACATGGAACACTTCAAGAATGCAGATACTCTGTGCTGACTGTTGTGGGCCAACACGCATTAAATCGAGATCTAAAGTTTCCTAGCGATTGCCTCCAACCATCTAATATCACCAAATTTTTGTCCATTTCGAATTACATTTTTTTTCACCTTTTAATATTTTTATTCATTTCACAGACTTGTCAGTTCATATCGTACCTTATTCTGGCATTTATTTGGAAGTAGTCAAGGTGGTAACTTTGAAGTGACTTTTGTGAATAAGACAAGTGGTGAACGTGAACGTATGGAATCAGCAAGGAATACAATGGTTGTAGGCGAAATTCTATTATTAATCTATCATGCAATGGCTATAATTGTTCTAGTCAATATGTTAATTGCTATGATGTCAAATTCTTTTCAAACAATTCAGGTAAGAATATATTCATCTTTACATATTACATAACATTTTGAATACCTTGTTGAGTATAAATCTTTGAAAAGAGTAATAAAACTAGTATGTTGTTATGGGATTTGTGTGGATTTGGATAAATCTTAGTTCCAACTTTTAGATTTTGCTACGAATCATAATCGGAGAGCATTGGACAGCTGATTCATTCCAATTTGGAACTTCTTCAGTACTTGTCCACGACCACACCAGAGATACAACTCTGAACACTTAGTTCATAAGGCCAAGCCCGTTGACCACTTAACTAACTGGGTTCGAACTCAGTGACTTGAGAACCCTAACTTTATGAATTCATAAAACAACTTTGCCTTCACCAATGGCTTCAATGAGTATCCACTTTGCCTTTTCATGGTGGATCCAGTTGGTTACCACTTCCAACTACACCTTCAAGACATCCAGCCAGTATCTATCAGTGAACTGGAGATTGGTATTTAGATTACTAGTCCTTGAATTCTTGCTCAAGTGACTGAATGGTAGACAAGTGGACCAACGACATTGGCTGGAGGTCGTGCTATATCGCAAATCGGCAAAATTTAGAAGTGATAAGCCACTGGATTCCGTCCCACTGGTTGAGTGGTCAGCCGGACAGCCTTGTAACCTGAAAGCCCTAGGTCAGATATCTGATGAGGTGTGGCGTACGTATCGCTGAATAATCCCAGACAATAACGCAATGGTAATGTCCAGTGTCTCTCTAGCTGAAATCAACTCATGATCAAAATAGAAATTCCGATGTGAGGAAACAGGCATAAAATGGACCCACACGAACAACTTGAAGCATCTGGGCTTCGCCGATGATATATGTCTGATTTCCCACAAACTGGAAGTGAAAAGCAACAAGTTGGCAGAAGAAGCCTTCAGAGTGAACATAGGTAAAACAGAGGTGATGAAGATTCCTGGTCAACAGCAACACCACCAAAAACAACAACAGACAACAATCAGCCAGCATAAATGGGAAGAACCTGAAAAAACAACCTCCTTCACCTACCTACCAGGGAAGCATCGTTTCAGCTACAGGCGGATGGAACTAATAAGGATATCAAAGCAAGGATCAGAAAAGCAAGACAAGTTTTCATTACTGTCAAGTCTGTGTGGAGGTCAACAGCACTCAGTAGCAAAAATAAGATCCAGATTTTCAACTCCAATGTGAAGTCAGTGCTACTATACGGTTCAGAGACTTGGCGAGTCATACAGAGCATCTCAAACAAACTACAGACCTTCATGACCAACTGTCTTCACTCAGTACTCAAGATCAGATGGCCAGCCGAAAAAGATCACTAATAGGGATCTCTGAGAGCGAACCAACTCAGCAGGAACGGATTGTGCAACGAACCGGCAGGAAGAAATGGAGACGGACTGACCATACTCTGATGAAACCATCAAGTGACATCACTAGACAAGCCATTGCTCGAGTGGAACCCGAAAGGGAAGCGGCGAGTTGGTCGTCAATGCGATGGTGGGGTGACTTGGAGGAGGTCATGTGAAGAGGAGGTGAAAGCGTGTAGGCAGATCTGGAGCCAGGTGAAAACGTTGTCAGAGAACGAAAGGCAATGGAGACGCGCGGCTCAAGCCCTATGTTCCTCTAGGAATTAAAGGAAATAATAATAAAAGTATTAGCTCTCAGTAACTGAACACTAATCCAACTTCAATCATGCTTCAGTTCTGATTCCGCTTGAGGTGAAATATGTCCTAGAATAGTAGTGGACATCTCTACTTCAACAACTAAGCATGAAATTTCCTTCCGAAAAGCTCTCTAATAAATAATGACTATTTCATTAAAGCTGACTAGAAGGAATTGATTTTCCTCACCGGGAAAATTGCACAAAGACTCTAGAAGAGAACAACAATATTCAACTTTTGACTAAATGATAATACCTTTCCATATTTGAATTCTCTAACACTAATCATATATATATATATATATATATATATATGTCGCCTTACTCCCCACCTACTTCACTGAACTAAACTATGACAGTTTACCAGTGAAGTGAAAGTAATTCAGGTGTTCCACCACTTATTTCGATATTTTTACCAATCTTCATTTAGAAGTAAATTGTAAAAAAGGTGAAGATAAACGGATAAGATGGTTAGAAAACTCTTCAGTTTCTCCTCTATCATTTTCTCTACTTCTCTTTATTCCTCAATTAGACAAACTGTTACATCTTTCCACTTGTATTTGGAATGAAAAGTGTGGCTGCATCACAGACTAGAATGGTACTGTATAATATGTGCATAGGTATAGAGAGTGGGAGAATTCCCCTATGGCTTATGATGCATTTACACATACACAATATATACATACATAGGCATAATTCTATTCCCATGGGAGTCATCTTTTTTCTAAATGAAATACAACTAGAAAAAAGAGGTTTTTGATAGAAGAAAAAACATTTCAAAAACAAACCTCTTTTTACTATTATAAATTAGAATGAGAAATTTCACCATTTTATTTAGGTTGATTATTGTACTACTAATTAGGCAAAGAATTATTGCTCAAAACGCCAATTGAGTTATCTATTGTAATTCATTTTATCAATTACGCTGACAGTGTGAAGTACTCCCTCCTCGGTGGCAATAGAGGACTGTGTTGTCAATTTAGCGTAGTAAACATAAAATTACCTTTCGTCTGATATTCACACCCCGTATGTTAAAATCTGAAGAGGCGTGTGTTTATCTTGAAATCAAATGAGTGTGGTGAGTAAACGTAACTCACAATACTTTATCTGTTTATGTTAAGACGAGAATCGGAAAGGTAAAGAAAACTCTCATAATTCATATATACGTGCAAAACTTGATCACTGTGGTAGTAAGTAATTCCATGAATGTCAAACATGAGGAAGACAACACCAACAATAAGGAATCTAAATCATCAGTAGTGATTTCATACAAGGAAGGAACCTCGAGAACCTCAGGCAGAATTCTTAACAAGACAGGAATAAAATTGACTGGCATTCAAACCCACAAACTCAATTAGAAATAAACTTTGTCGGTTAAATGATCAATCCTGTGGAGCTAATTAAACAAAACAATTTAGTTCATCTAATACCCTACCTACAATAATTGTCAAGTCAAATACGTAGGTCAAATTAGTAGAACAGGGACAGTCAGACTAGAAGAGTACAAAAATCTACCAGCAAAATCTAGATTAGATGACTTGAATAAGATAAGAAATCTAGAGAATAGTTCAGCTATACCATTCACTACTTGCAACCACACACAACCATACAATAGGATGAGATAAGGTGATAGTTTCAAAATCTAATGTCACCGGGTGAAGGAAGAGATTGATAACAGAAGCCCTGTTTATCGAATCAACTGCAAATACTTGTGATAGGGATGATTCGACACCTGTCTAGCCAGATATCTGGAAAACTCTACTACCCCTAAGACAACAAATAGGAGAGGACAGAGAAAACTATAAAACTCAAGTTTCGAAGTCGTGTGATTACAACTGGTATGATTATGAACAATAATAAATTGTGTTCGAAACGTCATCTAGTAAATAATACTGTTTCACTCACTGAATGATACATCTAGTAAACAAACTGATAGGAAAAACTCCCATCAATCTGAAATCAGTTTGTAAATCTTCTCCACTCAGCATATAGAACAGGATCCAGCTTTCCAACGCCACTGTCAAGTGAGCTCTCCTATATATGGGTCAGAAACCTACCGTGTTGTGTAAAGCATTTCCACCAGGCTTCAAACTTTTGTCAGTAGCTGCCTTCACTGGTTCCATGTTGAAGATCAGTTGGCCAGAAATAATCAGCAAAAAGGAATTCTGGTGCCGAATCAATCAAGAATCACTTGTCCAATTAATATTCCAAATAAAATGGGGTGGATTGGATATACAGTGAGCAGACCGTTGAGTGAGATCATGCGATGGGCCATCACTCTAGTAGAAACTAGATGCGAAACGAAAATGTGTGGCTCCGTGGGTGACATGGAGGAGATCATGTAAGGAGGGGACGGCATACTGTGGGCAGACGTGGTGTCCCCTAAGGAAGACTAGAGAGAGTGGGACAAGAAAGAGATGTACTGTTGATGTACTATTGGCACCAAAGAGAATAATAATACAATACATTATAAATCAGAGGGTCTCTGAATAGAATACCAAATTAATTTAAGGAATCTGGAATTAGGTTACGCTTGTTATCGTATCGGCTGATAAAAATCAATGAATAGTTATTGAATAATGTGACTTATAAATGAAGTGGCGTAAATCACATCATAAAGTTGCAATAAATGGTTTTAGATATGTTTGAGGGAAGCAGTGTATCGTTAGTTCAGTAGGAAAATGCTTACCAGTCATGTAGGAGGTCCAGTACTTTGTTTACGAACTAGTATATACTAGCCGTCAGTAAGGCTGTGATTACTTACATTTTACCTTCTATAGATTTTTAGGCATGATATGCCTTAGGCCTACACAAAATCGCTAGAAACTATTCGGCTAGCACTTAAAAGACAGGCCGTTGCATTAGGCAAAATCAACACGCATTCGTCAGCTCATTTGCTCGTAGAAAGCTGAGTACATTGGCAATTCCATGATTCCACTTGTAAAACGCGCTAGAGAACACTATCCAGCCAGCAAATGTCTATATAGCTTGGTCACAGAACATCTGTTGAACTCAGAATACTCAACTCCATTTGAAAATCCTTTAAATTCCTAGAAAAGATCCAATCAGACCTCTCATAGGGAGTGAGACCAAGACATTTGCACATAGCTGAGTCACTAACCACTCAAAAATTCAAACCAACGCCATGTGTTCAGAAGAAATACGTCCAAAGTTTGTCCATATCACAGCCATCATAAGTAGTCATTTCTCTCAACAATCATTATCCAATTATATTTCCTTATCCAAACCTCCTGTTTGTTTGTTTTTTGTCATTATTACGTTTTTAATCCATATTTGTAATTTTGTGATTTTGGACGGAGGGTTTCATCATGAGCTGACATCACTTGGAAAACCACTGAAAAACCACTTGGGAGTACTGGACAGCTGTTTCGTCCCAGCCCTTTGGGACTCTTCATCAGTACCCACCCACCAACAAGTTTCGAACCTAGGACCTTCTGGTTACAAGGCGAACTCGTAGACCATTGGGTCACTGGCACCCGATCCAATGGCCATCCCAGGAGTTCTAACGTCTGCCAATTCACAAAATAGCGCGACCATTTCGCAATGTCTTCTTCAACGGGTTACTGCCTCATCTTCAACCTACAGTACCTTGCAAAACCAATACTTGAAAATTAATCTGTTGCTCACTAGTGACTTGTCCTATTCAGGCAGTGGCCTGGGGTTCTAGTGAGAAGTTGTGACCAGTAGGGTACAGAGGGTTGCAGATGAGGCAGTAACTCATCGAAGAAGACATTGTAAAACGGTCGCGATATGTCGCAAATTGCCAAAAGTTACAATTCATGGGCCGGCCATTGGGTCAGGTTCCAGTGGCTCAATGGTCTACAAGCTAGCTCGCCTTGTAACCAGAAGATTCTGGGTTCGAACTCCGGTAGGTGCGTACTGATGAAGAGTCCTAAAGCAGGAGCGAAATGTTGTCCAATACTCCCAGATGGTTTCCCAGTGGTTCTCTAACTGATGTCAGCTCATGATGAAATCCTCGAACTAAACAAACAAAATCCCTACAAAATCAATACTTAAAAATTTCGTGATTTGCTAGAATTTACCCTTAACCGGAAATAGCTAACCGCTTTACTATATATACACGAATGTAAAGACTTGTTGATGACTTTTTCAAAAAGAAATTATTGGCTACAATCGTCTTTTTAATTTTTTTCCTATATAAAAGCCCTTTGATTCGCTGTAAATTTAGTGGTTCAGTCTTCCTTTAGAACGAATTTCAATGAACTCTGTGCAAGTATGTCAAAATTTTTGTTGTAGATATATTTAATAATGTCTTTGCCATGTAAGCAGCTGACGAGAAGGCAACGAAATAAAAGATGGTACCATTTTATTCTGCTAAAACTGTAGTTCTTGATTTGTTCAAATTCATCAAGGGGAATAAATGTATGAGAACGAATTCCATCTGAGAAGTGAATTTCCAGGCGTTCAGGACTTTGCTGTAGTTTTTCAACTTTAAAGCAACATCTTTGCAAGCTGGCCGGTTCTACTGAATAATAATTGTTTGTTCTGTCTAATAGTACCTTGATCGGACACTGGCTAATAAATAGTAATCCTTTGTTTGATGCAAACTGAATTCTATCAGTCAAATTTGTTATGTAGCCAACTTTCTAGGTGGCCCGTAATCGTGGCGCTTTGTGGATATTTACTCCTAAATGGTTTGAGTCAGTCTGCAGAAAGCCCTGTTTGACCACGGCTCTATGCTTGTTGGCACTCATCAGTAAGGCACATCTGCAATCTTAAAGGAACTCATGTCCCTATTGAGATTCGAACCCGTGTCACTCAGTGCTCTAGTCAGGAAATCGACCGCAAGCTCGAAAAGCTCAGTGGTAACTTCTCAGACTGTAGCACTGTGTTATGCGGGTTCGAATCTCATGAGGGACATAAGTTCCTTCAGGGTGGCAGATACATTTTGCTGATGAGTGATAGCAACAAATATGAGACCGTAGTCAAACGGGACTTCTCACCGACTGACTTCAACCGCCTAATTTTCCAACAGTTTTAGTATTGTAAACAATATTACTATTAGTCATATTTTCCCATCTTGAAGATACTCAGATTACATTACACATTTCATTATAGAATCATGCAGATACTGAATGGAAATTTGCAAGAAGTAAACTCTGGGTTGGTTATTTTGACGAAGGATCAACGCTTCCTCCACCGTTGAACACAATTATTAGTCCAAAGTCAATTATTCGATTTTTATGCGGAATATACCACTTGATTGTTCTCCTGATAAAATCATGTCGAAACTGTAAACTACAAACCAGCGATAGTAATCACAGTGGGGGGAATCATAGACAAAATATAGAATTTCATAAAGAGACAAAATTAAGCTCTATGAATAGTCAATCTAGCCAAAAATCAAGTCAACTTGAATGGGATATTGAAATACAAGAGACAGGTAGAACACAAGAAACACTTCCAAATACAAATGTAATGAATAAACAGAAACATGTAAGATTATTTCTTCTCTTTTTTTAAATTTTAATTTCATTTGTTAGATTTTGTCATGAACCAACCAGACAACACCAGGGAGCACTGGACAGCTCTCTCTGTCGCCCTATTTTGGGACTCTTTATCAATGCGTATCTATCATTCCATCAGGGATAAAATCCAGGACTGTCAGGGTACAAGATGAAGGTGTTGACTATTCAAACTGACTAGAGGATACAGTTTCCCGATATTCTAGTGGGTAGCCTTGACCAGTGGGTCCCACTAAGCTGGGCAGGAGTATAAACACCTACCGATGACAGTTGCTTGCGGTGTCGTTGTATATACCGCAAACTGACAGAAGTTAGAACTCATGGACCATTGGATTCCAGCCAAGTTGCTGATTGATATACTAGCCTGTCTTCAAACATGAAAGTTTTTGGTCCGAATCCTGATTGGGTTATAGGTGTGCACCGATGAAGAGTCCCAAGCGGGGACAAAACGGCTAATCTTTTAATGATCTCTACAACTGATGTTGTTTCGTGATGAAATCTAACAAATGATACTGTAATAATAACTAGATGACATTTGGAGCATAATTTATGTTCACCCGACATCATAATTTGTTTTATGTGATCTTAATCAATGTTGTTTTTAGTGCAACCTTTCACATAACTGGTACAGGCTTTAATTTATCCCACTGAAAATCAGTAAAGATAGATTCAATTAACTGTTTATATGATCGAGCCAGCAGCCTAACTAGTAAATCAGAAGATCTTAACAATGAAGTGAAACATGTAAGGGAATAACAACTCACCAGGTTTTATTCAAATATGTACCAAGAACTATAAGAAAAATAAAAGTGGTAATGAAAATAATGCAAATAGTGAGGAATTTACAGCCTTGACAGTGTACTACAATATAAAGAAGGAAAATCAGAAGTCCTATGTGAGATTCCTAATGAAGCTGCAATTAAGATGGCATTTAAACGAAGCAGTTCACTTAGATGCGAAATTAATCGGCCTAAGGACCTGTTAGATATAATTAAGAAATTAATTAACTAATTTAATATACCAAATGCCGTGTGGTGACTGTGGATTGAATTGCATCGGTCAGACTAATATATTGGTGACAATTAGGCCATCAGAGCATAAGAATTTATCTACAGCTCGAATAATTTCAAGAAAAGCTTGCCCACTGAAATGGGTTCCCTTTCATGTCAACACACAATAGACCGGGATAGAGTAAAAGTATTAAAAACTAAATATATACAACCAAAATGGCTCAATGGCTATCCTGAATATATGAAAACTTGTAATAAATAGTAAGTGAGAATGAAAAAATATAAGCAAAATGAATTATGAAGCTGTGTGAATACACTGACATGATTATTAGCAATAAATTGTGCTTAGAACATCCTTCAGTTATGAATACTGTATCACTATGTACTAAATAAAATAAATGTATCTAACATTGAACTGATTAGATGGTTGGAGACAATTAGCAAGAGGCCTTGGACATACGCTCCGTACTTGTTGGCACTCAACAGTCAGCAAGGCGTATCTGCAACATTTAAGGAACTGATGTCCCTTCTGAGGTCCGAAACCACGTCGCCCAGTACTGTGGTCAGAGACATTGCCACTGAGATATTCGGGCTCGCGATTGACCTCCTGAAAGACTGTATTCGATACTTTCATTGGACACTAGTAACTAACTAGTGTGACGTGCCTGGTTTATTCTATGGTGCAGACTGATTACTGATAAGCCTTGCTGACCAGTGACAACAAGCATAAGACCTTGGTGCAAGGTCTTTTGCTAATCGCCTCCAGTCAATTAACAACAACCATGTTGAGTGTACCGTGATGGAGAGCCACCTAACATGGTGCCCAAATTGCAAACCTGACTGATAGAATTCAGCCTGAAGTGAGCAAAGGACTGAACACACGACACTACTTAGTATCCAGTGAAAAGAACACTGAACTTTCTCATCTATATGATTTATGGAACCACCAATTCATCAAAATAGTTAGGCCGAAATCATGTGGCTGTCTGGCCTGAATTAAACAGAGTACACCCATGTAAAGCTTGACCTAAAATAAGCGAAACAGCTCTCCAATGTTTAAATCACTTCAGACTGATTCGTTGGTAGGCACTACTAATAGCTGATTTCAGTAGTACACAACTATTCATTTCAATCAGTCAGTAATATATTATTATTATTCCCTTGCGTTCCAAGTGGAACATAGGGCTTCAACAATACATTTCCACTTTGTTCTGTTTTCTGTTGTCGTCTTCAACTGAGCCCACGACTGACAGAAATCTGTCATCTCCTCCTCACACGATCTCCTCCAAGTCACCCGCGCACCAACGACCCACTCGCCGCCTCCCATTGGGATTCCACTAAAGGTCTTGCCCTGCGATGTCCCATCCATCTGTACTTTCTCCTGCATATTTGTTGAACCATCAGTTCTTGGCTGGTTTCTTCCCATAGTTTCTTGTTGCTTATTCTTTCTGGTCATTTGATTATCAGTATTGAACCAGGGAAGGAGGCAGCTGTTGATGAAAGCCTGAAGCCACCTGTTGGGAATCCTCTTCATTACACTCAGTGCAAGTTTCTGACCCGTACAGAAGGACTGTCTTAACATTGGTTTTGAAAATCAGAACCTTATTCCTTATGTTTAGTGCAGAAGATTTCTAAACTGCTTTCAGATTGATGAAGGTGTATCTTGCCTTTCCGATTCTAGCTAGCGGACTTTAACATCTACATCCATTCCGTCTGTGGTTGAAACACTGCCTCCTATATAAGCGAAGGGGGTGACCTCTGCAAATGTCTCCCATTGACAAGGATTTGTGCTATTTCTTTTTGTTGTGGTGGTTTGTTTGTTATCTTCATCAACTCCGTCTTTTCTATGTTCACCTGGAATCCTGACTTCGCTGCCAGCCACTTCAGGCAGTTTGTTGGCTTTCGCCTGTAAGTCTTTGAGTTTGTGTGGCATTAGACATACATAATCTGCGAAATCCATATCTTCTAGAGTTTTATTATCAGTCTGATGTATGCCTGTCTTCTTACTCCCAAGCACAGTTTGAGGCGTAATCCAGTCCACCAACATTAAGAATATCATCGGGATAGTAGAGAGCCAGTTTTGTCTTGCTTCTGTATTCACTTCAAAAGCCTCGCTGAGTTTACCATTGTGAATCACTTGACACGTGGCACTTTCATATAGCCCCATCTGTTGAATGAGGTTGAGAAAGACTTGAAGTACGCCGTATTGTTGAAGTAATTTCCAAATTACTTCTCGGTCAATGGTGTCTGTCGAAGACCTTTTCGAAGTCGATGAAGCTAAGGTAGAGGTTTGACCGTCATTCTTTGTTTTTTCTGTGATGATGATGCGTTGAGTTGCAATCCGATCGGCAGATGATTCGTCTTTTCTCAATCCCGCTTGTTCCGGTCAGTAGGCGGAGTTCCGTATCCAGAGCATCCTTTATTCTCTCCAGCATGACGCGAATTAGTATTTTGCTCGGCAAGATCATTATTCCACACCATTTCTTGCAGAGGCTTAAGTCACCCTTCTTTAGCAATTTGACGAGGTAGCCCTTCGTACAGTCAGTAGGCACCTTTCCTTCTTTCCAAGCGTTTTGCAGTAATGGAATGGGAACATCTTCCATAACCTCTGGGGCAGTCTTCAGTGCTTCGGGAGGAATTCCACCTGGTCCTGCTGCCATTCCAGCCGGTGTTCAGTAGCTTGATCGCATTCACAATTTCCTCTTTCGTTGGAGGAGTGGTGTCCACTGTCAGACAGTCGTGTGGTGCTGTTGGTAGTGATGGCGGTATTTCTGGGTGAGTTGCCGGTGGTGGCCGATTCAAGGGTCCTTTAAAGTGATCAGCTCATTGTTTGATTTTTTTCCTCCTCCTTAATGATCAGGTTCCCTTTAGCTCCACTGATCTCTTCCCGGATAGCGAGCAGCCCGCCTATCCCATATAATGTTCTCAAGTTTCTCTTACATGCCTGCCTGTTCTGCTTCAGTTACCAGCCAGTGTGTCGTACAACTGTCGTTTTTCTCTCCTAGCACTCTTCTTCACTTCCTTATTTTTTAGTGCAGTGTAGTGTACATTGTCCATCTTTGTTCTGAATCATCTTCTCTTTCACCATCCTCCTCTCCTCTCCTCGATTAGCTTCCAGGTAGGTGTCCGCTGATAGCCATATCTTGTCTTGTCTCTTCATTCTTACTAGAGCAGTTGTACACGTTTCCCCAAATATCGCTTTCAGATAGTTTCAATGTTCTTCCCCACAGGTTTCGTCAATGATGCCACGTAGTGTCTCCGACTTTGCTCTGATCTGATCTATAGCGAAGGCAACACCTGTAGTTTCGACCTTCGGTCCAGTTTCGGAGTGTTGAACTTGAATTGTGGCGTGTCTTCAGTTTTTCTGAGAGATTTCAGCTTCACATTGAAGGTTCCTTCAACTACCTAGATGATGGTCTGAGCTCCCCTACATCTGCTCCCTTTCTCGAATTTGTAGCCAGCAGGCTAGCTGCGTCTCCACTTCCTTGACCAGCATTGATATGAAATCTATTTGACTGGTGTTATGTTCGTCAGGCGAAATCCAAGTTGCTGGCTTTGCGTATATTTCTTGTGTACTCGCTCCCTCCAATCACCAAATCGTTGAAAGCGCAGAAGTCCACAAACAATTCTCCGTTCTTATTCATTTCCCCAAGCGAGAGCCTCTCGACTCAGGATGAGTTCTTTTCCTGTATTATCTTATCCCAGTTCATCTGGCATTCATATCGCCCATGAGGATATTGATATCATTTGGAATGCTGTTCATTACTGTTTGTAGTTGTCTGTAAAACTCCTCCTCATATTCTTGTTCCGCGTTGTTCGTAGCATTGTGAGTAACATTGGATAATTGTTACTTTCCTTCCTTTGGAGTTGAATCTTGATGTCATAATCCTGGATGAGAAGATTGGTTTCGACTGCATTGCATTAGGGCTTTGACTGCCACTACTGACATCATGATAGTCACTCACTGCCTCAGTGTGTTCGTGGTTGTCGTCTGATTGACCGGATCAGAGTAGATTATTGACTCTCCCGTTGACAATGTTGTCAATCCACATCCATTTCACTTGCTTTTACAGATACCCAGTACTTCAAAGCCAAATCTTCGCATCTCTTTACCCAGCTGGGCAGCCTTCCCAGACTCGTAAATTGTACGGAAATTCCATGTACCCATTCTTACTCTTGCTTTTATCGAGAGAAGACACATCGGCTGACTCACCGGCTCCCTAAAAGTTGGCCTTTACCATCCCACTGTGTCATTTAATCTCTCCAATTCGATGGAAGAACAAGATTGTTATTATTTGAAGTTTTTGTATTTTTAAAACATTTTCTGTGTGTTGAAGTTTCTCTAGTGGTTTGAAAGATTAGGTGGTGTGGGTTTGCTAGCCCCAGGCCCTATCCTCCCTCTTTACCCGGGTTTGGGATCGGCTAGAAAACTAGCGAGCTAGTTAACTAGGAAAGGTTCAGCAGTAAATAGTTTTATACAACTATTTTATTAACCATGAATGTTAATCCTACAGAATCGGAATAAAATAAGAAGCTTTACAAATTATAATACTTGAATTTTATTCACTTAATCTAAACGTTGAAGCATCAAAAATATACTTTTTATTTAACGCTAAAATAATAAACTGAAAAAAAACTCCAGAGAACATTTGCACCTAAAGTTAATGACAGTGTAATTGTCTACTAACTCTTCACAGTCTTGCTGCATAATAGATTTCACTTCTACTTCACGTCTTCTATTCAGCTATCTATCAAAAATATTGTAAAATACTTCTAAGTGAATAGTTCTCAGTCAATCACTCAGTCAGTCAGTCGAAATTTCTCATTTCACCACATTCTCCTTCTCATCATCATCCTCATCATACCATCAGACAGTTTGTCTGGTAAAATGAAATAATTAATCAAGTGGCAATTCAACTATCTTTTTTTCTTGAGTCTATTATTTCTCCTCTTAAAATACTTAAGGTAGGTATTACGAGCCCCTCCCCCGCCTACTCCGACGTTGAGTAATAAAGACTACTACTGTTACTAACAGTAGGAGTAGAAGTACTGACGACGTGAAGGACCACAACGGTAACAACAACAGTCTCCAGTAAATTCAAGAGAAAAAACACTTAAGTATAAGGTACACTTACGGATATATACATATACGTTAGCCATATATATGCCTAGTAAGGAAATTAAATTAACATTCTGACAAAAGACTATAAGACTTTTCATCATCACTTTCAATATTTGATCACGTGATTATGTAATACCATTCACATTCTTTGTTCATTCATTCATTCACTAATTTATTCCAAGAAATATTCTGCCTTCATTTATTTTTCGATATCTGATAGAGTGATCATTGAATTAAGTAAGTGAATTAGTAAGTAAGTAAGTAAGTAAGCAAGTAAGTGAGGAAGGAGTGAAGGAAGGAAGAGAGAGAGAGATGGAAGTAAAACTTGAGTGTTAAGTTAAATTACCCATTGAATAGCTTTCATTTGTATTATTATTACTACCATTACTACTACAATAAGTAGCTAGACTTTCCAATTTCTACTTTATTCTATGTCCGTATATATTTAGATATTATAATAATAAAATGTACTCAGACAGTCAGTTTTACTAAATGAATCAAATGAATAACTTATTAGTTTTATGAAAAATAGAGGGGAGTATACACAGAGATAGAGAGAAAAGATCAGTATTTATTTTTTTACGAGTTAATCATGGATTAATATCAGTTTGAGAACGATTGAAAGCCAGGGAATACTACCAGACATCTGTTTCATACTCGTAGTCTGGGAACCATCGGCAGTACATACCTACCACCAGGGTTCGAACCCGAGACCTTCCGGTTACAAGGCGAGCTCGTATACCATTCAGCCAATAGGACCTGATTCATTGGTCATCCCATGAATTCTAACTTCTACTAATTCGTGATTTAGCGCGACTACCAATCAATATCATTGGTGGAAAATCTATCCTCACACTTGACTAGTTGGGTGCTTACTTCTGATGATTCCCAATCTAGGATGAAACAGCAGCTGTCCAGTACTCTGTGGTTTTCGGTGGCTCTCTAAATGATATCAATCCATGGTCAAACTCGTAAAAAACAAATTTAATCCTTACAAATCAACTCTTGAAAATTCACTTTTTTTGATAGAATACTGATGTGAGTAGAATAAGACAAAGTTGTGTTCTTTCTTTATGAATATCATTTCATTATCCTAAAAGTGATTCAGCATTACAGTTTGAGGAGTGTAGTAATTAAATGTCGTAAGATGAAAGTTAGAATGATTAGTATTTTTACTAAATGACTTCATTTGGAGAACCATTGTGATGTAAGTTGAAGTCCATTAAACCCTAGCAAATCAGTATTCGAAAATAAATCTACCAATCACTAGTAGTTGATAACAGGATGAAAGTATCAAGAGTTCCAGTGAGAATTAGTTATTACTATAGTCTAACAGTCTGGGAGTGATGATATTGGCTGGTGATTGTATTTTATATCTGGAGTTCTATGGTGGACAGCTGTTCCATTCTACTTTTGAACCCTTCAGTAACAAGCTCCCAGACATTTCAGCCACTGAGACCTGATTCATTCACAAGCCCATGAATTCCAAATTCTAACAATTCGCGATTTAAGCGTGAGCACTAACCAATGTCCTTACACACCATCTGGTGGAGCTTACTGCTCATCATGACTTCAAACCAGAGTCTGAGGTAAATTCATCCTGTAGCCAGTCTCTAGAGAGAATCACATTACTTTTAGGAGTTTCTTCGTAGGGATTTGATTTATTTCATGTTTGATTACAGATTGATGTCAGTTAGAGAATCATTAAAAACCAGTCCTAGATTACTGAAGAGAACTTAGAATTCGCGGGACATCAAGTATAGCAGAAGAATAGATATTTTAGTCTTCATACCTTCTTATCTGATATTATACTTATGTTAAATTTTGCTCCTATGTATTCCGAGTGAAAAATAGGGCTTCGAGCTTGAGCTTTGAAGTTGTTGTTTTTTTTCATGGGGTGGGTTTCCTAGCCTCACGCTTAATCCTACCTCATTAGTAGCTTACTACAGGCTAAGTGAGGTTCAGGGCTGTGTCAACCGAGTACTAGTTTCCTTTGCAAGTCAAGATAATTCACATTATAGCATGTGATCTGCCTGATACCATAAACTGTAATCAAGAAAGTATAAATACGTAAAGCTTTATACTACTGATCGGTTGAAATGAGTATTTGTATAGCATTCATACCAATGAGTGTTGGCAGCCAGCCAGTCAGGTAGATGTGACGCAAACTTCTAACGTCTATTTCTTCCATTCGAGGTCGTGCTCATCAGAGGTGTACCTCACTCGACGGAGCTCATGGAGCCTAATCATTTGAAACCACGGTATTTCTGGCCAGTTACTTAAGCGAGCCGGTGATACCATAAGCCAAGTTCGCAATTTTATACGAATCGAGGTGATTCATCCACCATAGTTTCTTTTGGAAACCGTGACCATTCAGACCATAATACATTTGATCTGTTTTATACCATAAATTATAATCAAAAAAACCAGAGTAAAAGTGTAAATGTCTGACTGACTGGCTTGCACTCAGACTGGTTTCAACATGCATCTTTGCACTGATCTGCAGCAGTTCAAATCGCTACACTCAACGTAGTACACAAAGTAAGAGAAGAAAGTAGAAGAAACGCAAAATAGAGGCAGTAAACTGAATAGTAATATGGAAGAACAATATAGTTCCATTGGGTACTATAAGTTAGAAGGAGTGGATGCATCTGCACCAGCCACTGAGAACGGTTTTGAGCCATATCACCAATTGTCTCCAGCCTTCATTTGTGTTTACCGTCCTGAGGACCTCAACCAGTCAGGAAGTCTACAAGTCCCTACGTGGCTGGCTGGCTGGCTTAAACCGACTGTTGTGGATTTCATTGATTGATGCCTCGTTTCAGTTTGAATGTATATGCTACTCAACTCAGTCAGTAGTACATACTTTTAAGTGTGAACCTGGAGTATGTGTGGCATAGTTGGCAAGCACTCTACCACTCAACCAAGGACATATCTTCACTCGATAATCAGTATCTTCCTTTCAGCCCTAAGTATAATACTGACACAATTTTCAAAAGATATTGGCGACAAGTTTACCATTATTTTTTCGGAGGTTAAAAGTAGTATAGTGTTTCGACAGAAAACAGTTCCTCAAAAATGTTTATTTTTGTTTTTCTGAACTACTTTTTTCAGCATTCCATGAAAGAAATCAAGCAGAGCAAACGAAAAACTTATTATCAGGTTAGCGAATTAATTATCACTAACGATTTTTATATACGGTGAATTTTTGATTTGGTGTATAATGCAACTATTATTATTATTGTTATTGTTGTTATACATATGTATACACTTTCTGAGTATGAGCTATACTAGCAAACCATTCAGCTGGATTCAGACCAGTTTATGAGATGAGTGTATTGAGAGTAAGTGAAATAACTTTTATTGTCTATGCACCCACGTGTGTCGTAATTAAATTCTCTATTAATTATAGCTGAACAACTCACTTGCTAAACTTTCGTTCTCCTTGATATAAGAAGAGAACTTAAGCACTGCCGTAGAATATTATTTTAGTCATAAAATAAATTTATTTGATAAGAAATCACACAGTGACAATGTTACCAGCACAATTCTATTGCTCATAATCATATGGGTATCAAGATGTTCAGCTAACTTTCAAACTTTGCTCAGACTAATTCCATGATTTCTTATCCCTTAATTTTATTAGTAATAATATTTGCTATATCTCTACCATTGGCGTTGTTTCATTCGTATTACATGTGTTAGATGCAAATTCGATGAACAAAGATTCATTAATTATCCTTTGTCTCCACCTACCTGTGTCAATTTTTAAAATTACATCTGTGCCTCCATCCCAATGTTACTGCAAGCATTGCGATTTATGGATTTTTCATTAAATTATTCGTCTTCATGGGATCAATCATTCTCCACTCAGTTAAGTTCATATCTTCCTGTAATTTGACTACCCCTTATCTACTAATCTGACCGCACAGTTTTTAAGAGGTACCATATAGATTATATTACTTTGTCAGATTGAATTACTTGCTGCTGCAAGTACAGATGGATTGGTAAATACAGTGGGAGTTGAAATGAGCAAGATTCTTATCTACTTTCAACATTAAATAATTGACCACTAACATCATCTCTGAAATCATGTTGCTTATACTTTCTATCTATAACTTGAAGTCAATGTAAAGAGCATTTTCAGATGCTATTTTGTAAGATATAATTGTTTTAGAAGTTAATTGGTGGATGGTGACTAGCAGTGGAATCTAGGATGCGCGTTTCGCCCTATTTGGGACTCGTCATCTAGGTGTACCGGCATTCCACAGTGAGTGATGATCTTCTCACCGAGGCTCAAATCCAAATCCCACGGTTTCAAACGCCAAAGCGTTATCCACTAGACCACTTGGGCCACGAGAGCCACCTCTTGTGTAACGAGTCCCAAATAGGACGAAATGCGCATCATGGATTCCACTGCTAGTCACTATCCACCAATATACTTTTAATTACATGCACAGACATTGTCAAAACATCTGCACAAGAAGGCAGCATGTCAAATTGAAACCGAATATTTCAGTCTAATCAATAGACGGGAAAATATAAACTTGAATTGTATATAACTGATTTGTTGGAGGATGCACGCAACTGAAGAGAATCCACGAAATAAAGCGAGCCCATATTATCCTGTAAATATGTTTTCTTTCTTTACTATATACGTATAGCTTAAAATGTATCTTAAGATATTTCTTTTCAAATATTATAAATATTGAAACTCTGAAAATCGAAGCTGTAAACTTTGGAAGCTCATGTGTCAGTGTTTCAGTGTTATGAAACTCGCTAACCACACACGTGGTGCGAGATCGACTTCCAGCTGATTCACTTCCTACCTAATAGTAAACCCGATAAAAACTAAGGGTTAGGGGGGCGCGAGGTAGGCAAGCGACCCTATCCCATGAAAAACACAGTACGATTGCTACTGAAACTAGAAGGCTTCAAGCTTTAGGCCTTATGTTCCAGAACTTGGCAGTGACATTTCATAGTCTGTTCATAAATTATGCATGAAATTTTTGTCTTTGATTTTTGATGTCATCACAAACCCTGAGACGCTATCCTGACTAAAAGTATAAAGCATCAACTAGTTAGCAAGCAATCTGTTCACCATGCAATATAATCACGACAGCAATAGAAATGGTTATTTTAAAAAAATAATAATCATAAACTAATTAAATTAAAATGGAACAGTTTATATTTTACTCTTAAATTTAAAACTTATCATCAACAGGCATCTGATGACGTCATTTTATTTTTGATGATTCAAATTTATTACAAAATTGCTGGACAGGTGCTCAAATTGATACTTAATATTCTTATTATGTCTAGTCATGGGTTTATTTGTTAGTCGTCTATGCTTATTGTTAACCTCATTATTGAATCATAAAGATTAAACTAAGTGAAATAAATAATTTACAGGGAAACTTTATTTTCAGACAAATAATTCGGAATTTTATTGTACTGTTTATTTCCAATACAACTATTATTTTTTCTTCCTTGAGTTTTCAGTAGTACAGCACTAATGTACTGTGTTCTTCAATATAATTTTCAAATGTCCTCTTCCACCCTCCCCCCCACCGAACCCCTCGACTGCCTATTAACTTTCATTTTCTTCTACTCCTCATATGACCTCCTCGGTGTCACACTCCGACGCATAAGCAATCCGTCATATCCCATATGGGTTCCACTCCAGGATCTGTCTAGTGTGTTGTATCACTTGCTTGTTTCCTCAAGTCTGTGAATTATGCAGAAGCATAGATAGATTTTATTAGTTATGTTAGAAATTCACTCTTTTGCTTGTACTTATTGCGGATCTTAGAGGTCACCTTGAGAAGGTAACAGACAGCTGTTTCATCGTGGTTCGGGACTATACAGGAGTATGTATGAGACCCAAGAGGTTCCGGTTTCTAGTCAAGACCCTTGACCATTCAACCACTGAGACCCGATTCAATCACCAGCCCATGAATTCCAAATTCTATTAATTCGTGATTTTAACACGATTACCAACCGATGTCATCAGTAAGTATTTGCCCTCACGCACTATCTGGTGGACTCCAGTGTTCATCATGACCTCTCACTAGAACCTAACGTAACTTCACCTTGTAGCCAGACCCTAGTGTGCATCAAAATAGTTTTGATGGGTCAGATTGTACAGGAGGAGTTAGATTCCAACGCTGGTGGGTACGTACTGATGAAAAATCCTAGACTAGGACGAAGCACTAACCCCTAGTTTTAAAAAGTTTCCTAACTGATGTCCCTGCGTTATCACACCTGAAAAGAATCAAATCCCTATAAAGACACTCTTAAAAACTAAACTGATTCTCGCCAGTGACTGACTGCAGGAAGAAGTTGACTGAAGTTCTAATGAGTTCTCATGGCTAGTGGGACCTAGCAAATCGATTGGGAAGACTGACTCACACCGGTGATATTGTCTGGAGGTCGCGGTAAAATTACGAATTGGTAAAAGTTCGTATTTATGGTTGACCAGGGAATCGGTGCCAGTGGCGGAATGGTTTACCAGGCTGCCTTGAATCTTTACTTTTTTGTGTCAGATTATGAATCGTGTAATTTCTTACCGTACTCATCAATGTTTCGCCTATTCTAAATAACTCAGTACGTTTACTACCAATATGTAATTTTTTCTTTGGTTTCAATAGAATAATCTAGCTAGGTTATTGATCACCTTCCGTAGATTGATTATATTAGACCAAAATGTCTGGCCTTTTTTTGATATGTCGTCTCTTAGTACAGACAATACAGTGGTCTCTGAGAATCAGCGTAAAGTTATTGTTGATGGTTGTTAACCTATAGTGGAATCGAAGATGTGGATTTTGTCTATACTCGGGGCTGAAATGTCAACAGGAACACAACATTTCCGTACAACTTAATCAATCAGTGGGGAATGCAGATTAATTTAAAAATGAATTATAACTAATCCCAATAAGCGTAAGGGGTGGATTAGTGGCTAAGGCTTCATTGTTTGTTACGATGGCTGCTGAGTTAGAGTCTCAGTGGGAACATCATCACTCACCGAGGATTTCAGGCACACCCAAGAGAAAATCCGCATCCTGAAATTCACTCCTATTCACCATCTACTAAGTTATAAAATAACTACCGAGATTATCAACAGTAGTGTAAGGCATATCAAAGGATGATATATACAATCAAATGAAACATATCTCATAACTTCTTTTTACGGGTAGCTACCAAACAAATTTAAGACATTATATCTTGACACTGTGAATGGGCATTTCCAATTTCCATAATTATCTCTTCAATCATAAATATATATATATATATATATATATATATATATATGGGACTTCAGTTAATAATCATCTTTCATCTATGTCATTAAATAACGGTGGGGCTTACAATGGATTTCTTACAAATGCTGAAGATTAGTGAGAAGGACAATTTATCTTCATTACTTATCAAACTTAATTGACTAATCTGACCATGCTTCTTTTCACTGACATCAATCTGTTAATATTGACAGCTAAAAGTGAGAGGTAGATTAAGAAGGATACAGATTTATTACAAAATGATTAATTATTCTTGTAGATGTATCTAAGTAAATCAATGACATAAATGCATAAATGCTTTTTATTAAGAATATCTGCCTTGAGAAACATTAGAAACTAAAATGCAGTGAATGACTGTTTCGTCCTAATTTCAGACTCTTCATCATCTGGCAACTATAACCTCCATAAAGGATAGAAACCAGAACCTTCAGCTTACAAGAGAAGTTCGTTGACCATTAAACCATTAAGCTGAGAATTCAATTCTTGATTAATTACCACTACGAACTTACTCCAAACATCACTATCAATATTGCAAATAGACAGAATCTCTACAAATTCATAATTCCAAATTATCGACCCTCAAATCTTTAGTGGCTAAATGATGGATATTTTAAACTTACAATGAGAAGTCGTGGCTAAAGGTGTTTACTTCATGGTGATGAAGTGGATTTTTACTAATTTATTTTGTTTCTGATAAAAACGATTCCGTTTATTAGATATCTTTGTCGTATAAAAATAAAAAATAAAAATAAATAAGTATAAAATCTAAGATCTGCGGGCGAAAAACAACAGGTGGGTAGAAGAGGCAAGTAGTGAAGACTGGACTTCAAGTGAACATACAGAATACAGACCACCAACAACAAC